TATTTTATAGTGTTGAATTTCACTCCTTCTATTTATAATTTCTTTTCCGTAATTCTTTATGTTAAAAAATATATATGTAATAAAAAATATATATATAAAATTAAATGAAGTTAAATATGAAGACGATCTGCAGTGAATCCAGGCTGCACATCCCGGGGAAAAAAATAAAATCCAAACTGCACATCAGGGCAAAAACAAAAGAATAAACAAGACTGCACAACATTATCTCTTCATTCAGCTTTCTTATGACCATGGTTCTTATGTATCTTTGCCAATGACCATGGTCTGCATCGTGGCGCACTATTCTTACGCCGGAGAAGAACCAACTGCCCTTTTCACTCCCACCACCTGCAACTCTTTTCTTCTCTCACCAAACCCCCTCCCCCAAAAAACTGCAGATTTCACATTTTGCCACAGCCAGGTTTTTCTCTCGTCTCCCCATCTCCTCGAGTAGAAAAACTGGCTTTGACTCTTCGTGTCTGAATTCTGTGTTCTCAATTTGATGGTTTAGCTGCCGAAGGATATCTACGGCAATTGACAAACCTTTCTTTGTCATGGAATATGATTGTGGATGAGTGGGACGAGGATGAAAAGGAGAGCAACATCAATCTATTGATCAGATTCTTGCAGAGCATGTTCGAGAAGGTATCCAAGCGCGTAAAGAAGACCTCTCGCCGCATATTGCCTACAGCCATCGCCCCAGCCGGGTATCAGATACTTTCTTTTTAACCTGGTAAATGATCTTACAGCTTCTGCCTGGGGATGGTAACAGTTTGAATGTATTTTCCATGGTCCAGTTTGCAAGATTTTTAAAAGAAAGTATATCATTAGTTATTACCAGGTTAAAATTTAAAAAATCTGATCATAAAATCTTGTTAAAAGTAAAGTTTATGATAGGTATCATTTCGCTAAGAAAGCCCCAGAGATTTCACGGACGTCGCGAACCCGCAAGCTGGGTTCCTCATGAACCCAGGCTCTTGGGTTCGCTTGGAGGTAAAAGAAAAAAAAAAAAAAAAAAAAAGGCTGAAGGAAGGAGAAGCCAGGGAAGAAGATGAGGGTATATTAGTAATTAAAGATAAAAAATTTAATATATCATCAATTTTTGCTACGTGGATTTTTCACGTAATTTAATAACAAAAAAAGAATGAGTGTTTCCGTTAATTAACCTGTCACATCAGCCAAAATTTAACGGAAAGACTAAAAAGGGGTCGGATTTGTGAACAGTAAGGACCAAAAAGGGGATTTTTTCGGTACATGGACTAAAAATGGTCTTTTTCCTATAGTAGAGGGACCAAAAAGGGTATTTAACCTTTAATCAATGAATTTTTACATTTGGAGTATATACTGTGAATGAGTTCATTGATTTACACAGAAATGCAAAAACAATACAAAAGAAAGAAAGAAAATAAAAATCCTAAGCTAATCATCCGTCAGGTCGACGGGGATGGATGCGTCGTTGGGCGCAGAAACAGACCGAGCCGGAGATGACCGATCTGGAAGAGAGAGAGCAGGAGCAGCGTACTGGGCGGGCTGAGGTTGAGCAGACGGGGGAGTGCTTGAAGGCTCAACAGGCACATCATGGGGGTTTGCCACCCAAGCATCAAAGCTTGGCAACCCCTCTGTGTCCTCCCTCTCTTCAATGACAAAGGGGGGCCACACGGGTAGCCCCTCCTCATTAAGCTCCCATTTCAGCCTTACCCTGGTGTCAGCTGGAGGGGCGAGGCTCTTCCCTTCATTATCGATCTCCTCGCCCTCGAAGATGGCCAGCTCGCCGATGGGGAAGTCAGCCCGGACTCGCAGCATCTTCCCACGAACCTCATTGAAAATGTCCATGGTGGTGTTGGCAGAGATGATTGCAACGGCGTCCTAGAACATCTCTGCTCCCACCAGCCACTCAGCCCCCTGTGCACGGGCAAAGCAAACGTTGCGCTGGTGGAGCCTCTTGGTGCTCTCCAGGGACGCCTCAGCTCGGGCGACGTGCTGGTCGGCTTGCGACACCCTTTCTCTCAAGGTGCTTAGCTCGTGCAGAGTCTTCGCTCTTTCAGATTCTGCCTTCCTAGCTCGTTCCTCTGCACGACCAAGCTCCTCCTTGGTAACCTGGATGCTGGTGTCCTTCACCACTTGAGCCTGCTCGAGCTCCTCCTTCAGCTCATCTACTTTACGGGCCAACTCGTCAGCTCGGCTCTCTGCTGACGCCGCTCGGTTGGCCATCTCCGAGCTCTGCAAGCAGCTGACCTCGTCAGCCAAACTGGCTTTTTCAGAGGCCAATTGCTTACAGCTATGCTCCAGCTCGCGGTTCTGCACCCGCGCCCCCTGCTCGCACTCAAAGAGCGCGACGGTGTAGCTGAACGCCTGCCATGAGCATACACTTGTCAGTTTATGGCATAAAATAATAAAATACAACAAGCTCGGTCAGTATACTTACATCCATCAGTTTGATTAGAGCAGCATGTCCTCCATGCTGCTGAACGTGCCCCTTTGCACGTAGCCGGTCTGCAGGAGGCACAAAGTTTTGCATACCCTGTAGCATGGCAGCCTGGCACTTAGTCCGTACGTAACTGAAGCCGTCTGGGTATGCAATCCTTCGCCCCACCACAAACGACGAGGTAGGTACTGGCTCAGCAACCGCGTGAGCTGGCACTGGGGGCACATTCGCAGGACGCGCTGCAACGGCTGGAGCGGGTTGGTTCCCTGTACTCGTCCTCCACCGGATGAGGGGGACATCATCTTCGATGTCAAAGTCCTCCCTCGTGCACCTTCTGGAGCTAGAGGGCATAGGCTCAACTCTCTACTCAGCACGTGGCCTCTGTGCCGAGCTAGAACTTCGGTGCTGTGAGCTACGCCCAGGTGCAGCAGGCGGCCGCTCATCAAAGCGGGTTTGACGTTGGGAACCGGACCCAGCTCCCTGATTCCTCGAGCCTTGTGCTCGTTGGCGCTGTCTCTCCAAAATGCTGCTCATTTCTCCTGCACAAATAAAAGCATAAGATTCAGGTCAACTAAAAATCCTGCTATGCTATAGAAATATACCTTCCCCAGAAGGTTTGCCACGTTGACAAACCCAAGGAGTGCGATCTGCTCCTGGGTAACCGAGGCTTCCAGGTCCACCAAACCCCTCGCCTTCACATAATCGAGCAGCCGGTTCTTCAGGTCGACATCACCAACTGTCAGCTGAGGGTAGTTCATGTATGCGTTGGGCGTACGCCACTCTGACAGACGGGCGGCGAGCTCGTTACTGATCCTCTCAGTTCGTGTATCGCGCACGAAAACGAACTGCCTCTTCCAACTCACCACCTTATTTCTAATGTTGATGAATATCATCATCTTTTCTCTTCCGGAGATGTAGTACCATCTCGTTCTGTTGGTGGAGGGGCACAAACGGCACAGGAAAAGCAACCTGAAGACCGTTGCCTTTGCGAGCAGCCCTAGCCTCTCACACAACAGCATAAAGCCTATGATAAACTTTATGCTGTTGGGAGTGAGCAGTGGAAGGGCAAGCTCGTACTCTGCCAAGACATCAAAAATTAGTCCGGGCAGAGGAAAACGTAGATCGCCGTCAAAATGGTCTACATATACTGTCACCCAGCCGTTTGTGATACTGAGCATGCCCGCTCGTTTGGTGTTCCGGCTTGAATCAAAATTGTCCTAGGGATCTGGTATCGCCTCACCATCTCCTCTAGCTTCTTGTACCCTTTCACTATGGCCGCACCATCTGTAACTTCGTGATGCAGTGCCGCCCTGAACTTAAAACCAGCCGGTACGGTTTTGGGGGCCTTGCAGAGGTTGTCCAGTCTCCCATCGAGAGTCTTACTCTCCCACCCCTCAAACACCACTACCTCCACTGCTGCACTCATCGCCGGTGCACTGCAACCAACCTCCTCAATACCCTCCGCTTCCCTGGGAGTCTCCTCCCTAGACGAATCACTGGACGTTGAAGACCAGTGGTCGTCTGAACCACCACCTGTGCTCGAACTAGCGCTAGTCTCCGGCACGGTGGTTCTAGGCGAGTCTTGTAACTCCGGTGGCACTATCATGGTGATAGGCTCCACTGATATCACGTCAACCTTTTCGTCTTCACGTTGGTTACCTCGGAACTCTCGTGTGTCGTGAAAAGAAGCCATTTTTACCTGAGTACTGGAAATCGGATGTCCTTTGACTGAAAATTCTGGAAAATGGGCTGGAACGTCTCTGCAACCAACTCTGAGAAAAGCACTAACGTATTGTGTAATGGAACAGAAAAGGACTAAGTGTTTGTTTTGTTTTTGCCCTTTAGATGGTGCTCCGTAAACACCGTACGCGTGTTTATGGCCCCCCAGTTAACCATGTCCACGTGGCAGCCATTTATGGTTAAACGCCCAAATTCAGCCGTCCACAGCTGTCACGTCCCCTTAAATGCTGAGCCAGCATTTATTACGGGAAGGCAGAGGAATATATGTTGTTGGCAGAAGAAGACCAAACGCCCTGAGCAAATCTCCACAGAGATTTGCCATAATTCAAAATTTGAAAAATCCCGAAGGATCGGCTCGTAACAAATCTCGAGGATCAACTCGTTACAAATCTCCTCGGAGATTTGCCATAATTCAAATTTTGAAAAATCCCAAGGATCGGCTTGTAACAAATCCCGAAGGATCAGCTCGTTACAAATCCTGGATCTCCTTAGAGATACGTCACAATTCAAAATTTAAAAAATCCCAGGAATTAGCTCGTTACGAATCTGAGACCTCGTCAGTGATTCGAAGTTCGAAAAACCGTGAGAGACCAGGTCATAACAAATCGGAGATTCACTTCAGTTTTGAACATCGAAAGTTAAATTGTAACCAAATTGAAGTGACGAGTGAGGTCGTTCACTTCTACCTGTCTGGGTTGGTTAGTTCAGCCCGGTCACTATCTACTCGGCTTCGCTCCGCTGCAGAGAATTCATTATGCAAGGTCGCCTCGCGTGCCTGCTCGGCCCGCTGATTAGCACTGCGCTCGACTGGTTTTAACACCAACTCCTCACGCCCGCTCAGCGGGAAGCCAGCATACACTTGCACATCCGGCCAGGTATGGTGTCTTCAAGCTGCTCAGGTCGGCCATGTGTGAAGTCGGTCGCAAACCAAGAACATCACTCCTCATCACCAATGTCAAACCCAGTTCGTCAACCGAACACCAAGGTGGGAGTAATGTTGGGATTAGGCCCAACACCCGTTTCGGGCCACACGCTGCAGGCCCAATCACTCATCCACTGGCCCAAAGTGATGAGACATGCCCACGTGGGCAGTAAAACGTGGGCCAATGAGAAGCTTACATGTGCGGATGCATGTCAGCACTTGGGGGTATAAATACCCCACAACTACCTCCGAAGAAGGTAATTAATCTCGACGCTTCTCTCTCTGCAATTACTCCTTGAGAGCATCTCTCTCTAAAATATCGAATATTACTGACTTGAGCGTCGGAGTGTCTTCTCCGAGGAAACATCCTCGAGATTTTCAGGTGTAAAAGCAGCTGAGAACTTCAACAGTGTTGGATTACGAAACTGCCTAAATAGTCCTGTTTTCAAACTTATATCTTTTCATTTTAGCCGAATATACTCTTTTTTCACCCCACTTTTCATTCATGAAGTCAGTTTCACAAACTCTTAAAATGAATGACAACTAGATTTTAGGATTTCAAAAATTTTTTTGTTTCTTTTAACTTGTTTTTGGTAAGAAACAGCTGTTTGCGTGGATCTCCCGGTGCACATTCACCGATTCTAGTCGAGAGAGGTTAGAGTCCGTAAAACTTCTCATTAGTTTTTGTCGCCAATTGCCACTGACGATGGCCTTGACTTGACGTCAATGCAGGAGGGAGGTGTCGTCGAAACTTCCCCAAATTGGAAGCAAGGGACGAAGAATGATTTCGGTCATGACAGGGGCAAAATAGTCCTTGCAACAGAAAATTTTAACTTCTGTGTAGTTCTATCATTTTCCTGTATCAGCAACAACTGGGCCCGCAGTGGGCCTCACTGCATTATTTTGCCCTTAGCCAATAATTCAACGCCTACCCACCGGCCTGATTATCCTATCCCATTGTCTTTGCCTTTTTCATTTCTTTTCACCCAAAAAAGGGATTATTATAAATCAAGGTAGTTTTAAAAAAATACGTTAAAAAACATTTTAACCATTATTAGATATCATTATATTTTTAAGGTTAAAATTTTTTTATTTTTTCCTTTTTTTTAACCTATATCTTAAAAAATCTCAAGATAAAAAAAAATGAAAAAAAAAGAAAACCATTTCTAGTCAAAAATAAAATTAGAGTTCAATCGCACTGTTTCTATTATTAAAAATAAAAAGGCAAACGCGCAACCGGGTCCCCCTGCATCATTATTAATGCTTGCAATAATTCACCAACTCCCATGCCTACATGGTTATTATCCTGTCCCATTGCTTTTTACATTTTGGTTTGCTTTCTTCTGAAAGGAAATTGCTCTCTACTTTTGGAATACAAGGTGCCATTAGTCAAATTTGGCTCTCCCAAAAACAAAAACAAAAACAAAAACATACGCGCAATCCACGGGTGTGGATGAAGAATAAAAATGTTATTTTTTTTAGAGATATTATTTATATTTATCAATAATATTTTAAAAAATAAA